CTACTCTGAAAGGCAAGACCAGCTAAGGGCATGGGGTGGCTTGGTACAGTCTCTCTTTCATTACTAGAAAAACAACCAATCCAGCCATGTGCAGTGGTTCACACCTGTAATCCCAGGACTTTGGGAGGTCGAGGCGGCTGGATTACTTGAGGTAAGGAGTTTGAGGCCAGTCTGGCCAACGTGGTGAAACCCTGTCTCTACTAAAAACACAAAAAAACTAGCCGGATGTGGTGGTAGGCGCCTGTAATCCAAGCTACTCAGGAGGCTGAGGCAAGAGAATCACTTGAACCCAGGAGGCGGAGGTTGCAGTGGGCTGAGATTACGCCATTGCACTCCAGCCTGGGCGACAAGAGCAAAAAACTTCATCTCAAAAAAAAAAAAAAAAAAAAGAAAAGAAAAACAACCAATCTAAGTTAGCTCATAAGCAGAACGCTTAAGAAAGGACAGCACATATATAGACAACACGAAAGAGCTCATGTTCTGAGGCTTGAGTATACAGTCAAAGGAAATTCTAGCTCTTTTCATTCACCTGAAAACCTAATAATGTGTCTGGAAAAGTCAACAGCTTTGGTTCCTTGCTTATCAAAAATGCAAAAGACCCCACAGAGCTTCCCATTTCAGAAATCTCATCACCTTCCCAGAAGGGATTCAGAGGGCATCCAATGGCACTTGGGGTATTGAGAACTCAATCATTCTTGAATTAAGGTTAAAATTATCCTCTGCCAAGACTGGGGAAGGGTTTGAGGAGGCAAGTAGATGAAAACAGCAGTGGCTTCTCTTTTCTCCTTTTTACCAAGCTGTGGACACAAAGGGCCATGAGTAAACTAGAACATAACCATGCCAACTCGAACTTGGCCAGTGAGGAAGTACTCCAGTTTTTCCTGGAGGGAGGGCATCTACTGAGTTTTAAGGTCAGTAATCTTTAGTCTTCCCTTCCTCCCAGTGATAAAATTCCTGGGAGAAATGGGTTCCAACAATGGCTTGGGAAATTACCTTTCTGACAGAGTAGTCTAGAAATGAGTATTTGTGGACAGGGGAGGAAAGATATGTAAAAAGAATTATTATTTTTTTTGGTGGGGGGGGCAGGGTCTCACTCTGTCACCCAGGCTGGAGTACAGTGGCATAGCCATGGCTCACTGCAGCCTCAGCCTCCCAGGCTCAAGTGATCCTCCACCTCAGCCTCCCAAGTAGCTGAAACTATAGGTATGTGCCACCATGCCCAGCTAATTTTTGTATTTTTGTAGAGATGGGGTCTCCCTATGTGCCCAGGCTGGTCTTGAATTCCTGGACTCAAGCAATCCTCCCGCATTGGCCTCCCAAAGTGCTGCGATTACAGGCTTGAGTCACTATACCTGGCCATGAAAATTAAAATGACTTAAGCATCAACTTCCCCTCCTTTAACCACCTTTCCCACTATAGAACCTGTCTACCATTCATTTCTAATTTGGCAGCAATTCATAGAGTTAAAGAAAAGAGAAGAAATATAAGAAGAGCAAAAGTTAAATTTAGAAGCCCAGAGAACTACTGAGTTATGAAAAATTAGTGGGATGAACTAGGTTCCCTAGAAATTATAAAGTGGTATTCTACCTAATTCCTTACTCCTACCCTCAAATCAAAGGAGTAGTTCACATAAGGAGTGAACAGAGAAAACAAATAGGGATTTTCAAAAACAAAACTATCAAGCATGGGGAAAATAATGCACAGATTCCACAAAGTGTCAGAGGCAACTTTATTTGGCCTCTGACATAGTCTTTACCTTTTTTCAGCTCAGTTTCCAAAAGGATTAGGGCCCCCAGAGGAGCAGGCAATAATGGGAAAGTATTTTTAAACGAGTCCCCTGAACTGTCTCCTAGCTTCCAAGAAAACCTAGCACATTTTCATCTAATGAGCTTTTCAGGCCTAATATACTACTCCCAGGGCTGTTCCATGAGGACATAGATCCTCTTATGTCTTCCTGAAGAAAAGGAACAGCAGCCTGTTCTACTTCTGCTCTTGCTGTTTGTTTGTTTGTTTTTGACACAGGGTCTTGCTTTGTCATCCAGGCTGGAGTACAATGGCATGAATGCGGCTCACTGCAGACTTGACATCCCTGGCTCAAGCGATCCTCTCACCTCAGTTGGAGTAGCTGGGACCCTAGGCACATGCCTGGCTAATTTTTGTATTTTTGTAGAGACAGGGTTTCACCATGTTGCCCAGGCTGGTCTTGAACTCCTGGACTCAGGCGATCCATCCGCCTCAGCCTCCCAAAGTGCTGGGATTACAGGCGTAAGCCACCATGCCCAGCCTACTTCTGCTCTTTCTAACTACACTGATAGGCTTTGTAGCAGAACATTTTTTAAATGGCCAACATTTTTACATTAGCCTTTTATACCAGTGGGCATATGTTTCAAGAGAAATGAAGACTACAGATTACTTCACGGAAGGAAATCAAATGCTTCTACAACCAAGAAAGAAATGCAAATCAATTCTTCATTTGAGAACACTAAAAATGAAGATAAAAGTCAAACCCAATTTAATTGGATTCCTTTATCTTTCTGCTTACTTTTTTTTTTTGAGACAGAGTCTCTCTCTGTTGCCCAGGCTGGAGTGCAGTAGTGTGATCTTGGCTAACCATAACCTCTGCCTCTCGGGTTCAAGTGATTCTCCTGCCTCAGCCTCCCAGGACTACAAGCACGTGCCACCATGTCCGACTAATTTTTGTATTTTTAGTAGAGACTGGGTTTCACTATGTTGGCCAGGTTGGTCTCGAACTCCTGACCTCATGATCTGCCCACGTTGGCCTCCTAAAGTGCTGGGATTACAGGTGTGAGCCAGTGCGCCTGGCCTTCTGATTACTTTTCTTTCTAAACAATTAGCAATTAGCAAAAATGGATGAATTGATTTGAATCCCATTTCTCCCGGGCCCTGGCAGAGATGCTTACACATAACCAGCCTTAAAGAATACCGGCAGTGGATACTATGGGTATGTGTAGATGGCCCTGAAACAGGTAGCAAAAGCAAAGACACAATCACTGGTCTTCAAATTATCGAGCCATTTGCTCCAGCCCAAAATTTCCAAGTTAATTCTAGACCCTTACCTAAAATATGAACATGTTTCAGAGTGTCTTATAAAAATTTTACACCCTAGGAGGCCTTTTATTACTACTCATTAACAATTGTTTGAATTTGGTGTACAGCTTGTTCTAAACAGGCCCTCATCTCACATCCACACCACCATAGTGCCGGCACCAGTTCTAGGGGAAGATGGAAAAAATAGTTCTGGGACATCAGGTGTGGGCAACTGGAAACTCTGAAAGGCTCAAAGCTGTGTACTAATCTCCATTTTACTGAGACCATCCACTTTTCCCTTGACAGGGGTGATTCTGACATGCCATGTCCCTGTGACATGGGCAGTGACAGTGTTTGAAGTGTGGTGGAAAGGGGACTAGGCTAACAGCCAAGGAAACTGGGTTCCTATCTTAGTTCTGCCACTCTGAGAGCTTGGCCAAGTCACACTATCCTTTTCTGGCCTGTTTCCTCATCAGTAAAATGCATGGCTCAGGCTAGAAAATCTTCAAGGACCTTGCCTAATATAATGATGATCCTAAATGAAGGAAAAAAGAAGAAAGAGTTCATTTAACTCTCTTTGCATCTAAAAAAAATTAAGGCTACATGACATTCTATCATTACATACTGCCAAATTAAAGTTTTGTTTGTTTTTTGTTTTTTGAGACAGAGTCTCACTCTGTTGCCCAGGCTGGAGTGCAGTGGCACATCTCAGCTCACTGCACCCTCCACCATCCGGGTCCAAGCGATTCTCCTGCCTCGGCCTCTCAAGTAGCTAGGATTACAGGCGCCCGCCACCACGCCCCACGAATTTTTGTATTTTTAGTAAAGACAGGGTTTTGCTATGTTTGCCAAGCTGGTCTTGAACTCCTGACCTCAGGTGATTCGCCAGCCTGGGCCTCCCAAAGTACTGAGATTACAGGCGTTAGCCACCACACCTAGTCAGCCAAATTAAATTTTTAAAGAGCCACAGATGCACTATCTGACTCGAAAGACAATATGACCTGTTGGTGCCAGGTAACTCAGGATTATTGACTACCTTTTTCAAGGCCCTTTCCATTCCACAGCTGTCATGTCTGCCAAAGGATAGAGTTTCCAGGTCCCTTGAAAATACCTGGGAAACCGAGCCATCTGGATATTCCTTAATCATGTATTCTCCACAAGCTACAAAGACCTACCACATAAAGTCCTTTACTTGCAATGGAGGTTTCCAATAATAGAATAAGTTATATTATCCATATTTCACTCAGCTCATGGCCACTTGTTGGCTTGCATCTGAAGCAAGAATCCAAGTGATAGAAAAGAATTAACACGTCCAGTGGGGTTGAAATAATATACAAGTGGGAACATTAGCTCCCAAACTAAGCTGGGTCAGTGGTGGAGGGGCAATGGATTAACAGTAAAGAGGCAGGTCACGACAACTTCTCTCCTCCTGCCTAGAACGCCTTCTCCGACAGTTGCAGCATGCAAAAGGCAAGGCGCTTCAGGGATCAAACCTACTCGTAAAGGGGGACACTGAGGCCCAAAGAGAAAGTAACCTGCTCAGGGTGACGCAGCAAGGCCCCACCTCCGCCTCGATGCCAACGGCGATGACATCCAGGCGAGGGATTACGGAACCACCACAGCTTGGGCCCGCGGGAGGGGACGGGACGCCACGACCCGTGGGGCGGCAGCCGCCGCCAGGGGTGTCTCTTTTGCCCGAGGAGCCTCCCACCCAGCCACACAGCACTGCAGCGCTGCCCTCCGCAGGACAAAACTGCCCCGCAACCCTCCCGGACCGAGGGAGGGGCTCCAGGGCCTTCAGGACACCACTCCCACTATCAACCCAGAGGGTGAACTGCGGTGAGAACCGAAACCGGCCACATCTCTACCCTCTGTGGCCCCTTCTCAGGACTGCAAGTCTGAATGTGGGCACCCCGAGGGCCTAACTGCCCCTTTCCACTTGAGGCACTCACCAGGGACAGCAGCCAGCGGCGGCGCGACAGCAACAGGGCAGAGTGGGACGGGGGCGGGGCTAAGCACCCGAGGGAGAACCCATCCCTCCTGGCCCCACCCACACGTCACAACGGTCAGCAAGCCCCGCCCCCGCGCGGCGCTTGCTGGGACTTGTAGTGCTCAGGCGACCGGGCCCCAGGAGTGGAACTCTGCCTTTGATAGCTCTCCTAAGTCCTGAGCAGTGATCTCACCCAAAGAAACCTACTTCATCCCCTGGAAGAAGCTGTTTAGTTTTTTTTTTCTTTTATACCTTTATTTCTTTTTTCTTTTTCTGTCGTCCAGGCTGGAGTGCAGTGGTGTGAACACTGCTCACTGTAGCCCCGACCTCCCAGGCTCAGGTGATCCTCCCACTTCAGCCTCCTGAGTAGCTGGGACAACCATGGTACCCGTAGAGCTCCGCCAGCACGCCAGGCTAATTTTTGTATTTTTAGTAGAGATTGGGTTTTGCCATGTTGCCTAGGCTGGTCTTGAACTCCTGGGCTCAAGAGATCCAACCGCCTCGGCCTCCCCAAGTGTTGGGATTACAGACCTGAGTCATCGCTCCCGGGCTACATCTTTATGTCTTTCATCCCTGAACGAGAAAGCTTTATACATTTGAAGGGCCATTAAGAGGTCATCTTCATTTTTCTCCTGGCTCCACTTAACACTACTTCACTAAGAGTCTTTATTTTTTTTTTTGCTTTATTTTTTTTTGAGACAGGGTCTCACTCTGTCGCCCAAGCTGGAGTGCAGCGGGGCGATCTCGGCTCAGTGCAACCTCTGCCTCCCCTGAGTTCAAGCTATTCTCGTGCCTCAGCGTCCCCTGTAGCTGGGATTACAGGCGCCCGCCACCATGCCCAGCTCATTTTTTTGTATTTTTAGTAGAGAAGGGGTTTCACCATGTTGGCCAGGCTGACCTTGAACTCCGTCTCAAAAAAAAAAAAAAGAAAAAAAGAGAATAAACTCATGGCCAGGCACAGTAGCTCACGCCTGTAATCCCAACACTTTGGGTGTCCGAGGTGGGAGATCTCTTGAGCCCAGAAGTTTCAGATCAGCCTGGACAAGATGGGGAGACCCTATCTCTACAAAAAATCAAAAAATTAGCCGGGCGTGGCGGTGCTCCCCTGTAGTCCCAGCTACTCAGGAGGCTGAGGTGGTAGGATCGCTTGAGCCCAGGACGTGGAGGCTGCAGTAAGCAATGATCACACCACTGCACTCCAGTCTGGGAGACAGAGCGAGACCCTCCCCACTCCCCAAAAAAAGAATAAACTCAGTAAGAAAAGAATTCTGCTAAGTCAATTTAAAGAGAATCCCCCATCCTTAATATCTAATCACCCTGACCTGCCTTCGACAAGAGTCCTGTTAAGTCGGTTTAACAAGAATCTCCTTTTAGTAATTTTCCATGCAGTGACCCCTCACTCTGCTAGTTGGCTATAAATCCCACTTGTCTTTATTGTATTCAGAGTACAGCATAATCTCCCCGTCGGTACTGAATAAATTCTTCTTTGCCATTTTAACAAGGGTCAGAATATTTTTTTCTTTAACATCCAGAAGATGTTAAACACTGTATATACTGTCTATGAAAGATTAAATTCGGAAGTGCCCCTTCTTCCACTGTTTAAATGTGGAATGAAATTTTCTGTGCCATCTGACCAGAAAATTTATGCCTCTGTGAAGCAGCTTTAGATTTCAGGCAGGGGGAAATGAGCATTCCTTCTTTTTTTTTCTGCACAGAGTCTCGCCCTGTTGCCCAGGCTGGAGTGCAATGGCATGATCTGGGCTCACTGCAACCTCCACCTACTGGGTTCAAACGATTCTCCTGCCTCAGTCTCCTGAGTAGCTGGGACTACAGGTGCCCGCCACCATGGCTAATTTTTGCATTTTTAGTAGAGACGGGGTTTCACCATGTTGGCTGGGCTGAGGCTGGTCTTGAACTCCTGACCTCAGGTGATCTGCCCGCCTTGGCATCCCAAAGTGCTGGTATTACAGGTATGAGCCACCGCACCTGGTCTTTTTTTTTTTTTTTTTTAAAGTAGAGATGGGGTCTCACCGTGTTGCCCAGGGTGGTCTCGAACTCTTGGGCTCAAGTGATCCTCCTGCCTCAGCTTCCCAAAGTGCTGGGACTATAGGCATAAACCACCATGCCCAGGCTAGTCTGATTTATGTATTTACGTAGTTATTTATTTATTGAGATAGAATCTTGCTCTGTCACCCAGGCTGGAGTGCAGTGGTGTGATCTCAGCTCACTGCAAACTCCACCTCCTGGGCTCAAGTGATTCTCCTGTCTCAGCCTCCCCAGTAGCTGGGATTACAGGTGTGTGCCACCATGCCCAGATAATTTTTGTATTTTTAGTAGAGACGGGGTTTCACCATGTTGGCCAGGCTGGTCTCAAACTCCTGACCTTAAGTAATCTGCCCATCTTGGCCTCCCAAAGTGCTGGGATTATAGGCGTGAACAACTGAGCCAGGTCTTAATCTGATTTATTTCTAATAGAAATGTCAAGGGAGGGCTGCAGCTGCACCCCTTTATAGCTGGATATTGAAGGAATAGGAATTTATATTCAGACCTACAGAGAAAATCTTTCACTTCTATCTTCAACTGCTAAATCTTAGGGCAAAAGAAAAAGATTGAGGGGGTATGTGGTTACTCTGTGCATGACACAGTAGATTATCTCATTTCATTCTTCTAAGGGAAACATTTTTATTATTTGCATTTTATAGATGAGAAAAGTGAGGCTTAGAGACATAACATTATTTTCCCACACTCACATAGCTAATAAGTGCCATCAGAAGAATTTGAGCAAAGCATTCTGATTCCAGTATTGTACTCTTCACCTTTTTTTTTGTTTGTTTGTTTTTAAAGAGACAGTGTCAGAGGTGTTTGAACCAGAGTGACTTCATCTTGAATAGGAGCTGGTAGGCCAGGCGCGGTGGCTCACGCCTGTAATCCCAGCACTTTGGGAGGCCGAGACGGGCGGATCACAAGTCAGGAGATCGAGACCATCCTGGCTAACCCGGTGAAACCCCGTCTCTACTAAAAAATACAAAAAACTAGCCGGGCGAGGTGGCGGACGCCTGTAGTTCCAGCTACTCAGGAGGCTGAGGCAGAAGAATGGCATGAACCCGGGAGGCGGAGCTTGCAGTGAGCTGAGATCCGGCCACTGCACTCCAGACTGGGCGACAGAGCAAGACTCCGTCTCAAAAAAAAAAAAAAAAAAAAAAAAAAAAAAAGAATAGGAGCTGGCTAAAATAAAGCTGAGACCTACTGGGCTGCATTCCCAGGAGGTTAGGTATTCTTAGTCGCAGGATGAGATAGGAGGTTGGAACAAGATACAGGTCATAAAGACCTTGCTGATAAAACAGGTTGCAGTAAAGAAGCCAGCCAAAACCCATCAAAATCAAGATGGTGATGAAAGTGACCTCTGGTCATCCTCACAGATCATTATACTCTAATTATAATTAATTAGCATGCTAAAAGACATTCCTACCAGCGCTATGACAGTTTACAAATGCCATAGCAATGTCAGGATGTTACCCTATATGGTCTATAAAGGGGAAGAACTCTCAGTTCCAGGAATTTCCCACCCCTTTCCCAGAAAACTCATGAATTACCCACCTCTTGTTTAGCATATGATCAAGAAACAACTGGCTGGCCGTGGTGGCTCATGCCTGTTATCCCAGCACTTTTGGAGGCCAAGGTGGGAGGATCACAAGGTCAGGAGATCGAGACCATCCTGGCTAACATGGTGAAACCCTGTCTCTACTAAAAATACAAAAAATTAGCTGAGTGTGGTGGCACACGCCTGTAGTCCCAGTTACTCGGGAGGCTTGAGGCACGAGAATCACTTGAACCCGGGAGGCGGAGGTTGCAGTGAGCCGAGATCGTGCCACTGCACTCTAGCCTGGGTGACAGAGTGAGAATCCATCTCAAAAAAAAAAAAAAAAAAAAGAGGCTGGGCTCGGTGGCTCACACCTGTAATCCCAGCACTTTGGGAGGCTGTGGCAGGGGGATCACCTGAGGTCAGGAGTTTGAGACCAGCCTGGCCAACATGGTGAAACCCTGTCTCCACTAAAAATACAAAAATGAGCTGGGTGTGGTGGCGGGCGTCTGTAATCCCAGCTACCTGAGAGGCTGAAGCAGGAGAATCACTTGAACCCAGCGGGTGGAGGTTGCGGTGAGACGAGCTTGTTCCACTTCACTCTAGCCTGGGCAAAAGAGTGAAACTCCATCTCAAAAAAAAAAAAAAAAACCGAAAGAAAGACAGAACCATAAAAATATCTAACCAGGCCGGGTGCGGTGGCTCAAGCCTGTAATCCCAGCACTTTGGGAGGCCGAGACGGGCGGATCATTGAGGTCAGGAGATTGAGACCATCCTGGCTAACACGGTGAAACCCCGTCTCTACTAAAAAAAAAAAAATACAAAAAACTAGCCGGGCGAGGTGGCGGGCACCTATAGTCCCAGCTACTCGGGAGGCTGAGGCAGGAGAATGGTGTAAACCTGGGAGGCGGAGCTTGCAGTGAGCTGAGATCCGGCCACTGCACTCCAGCCTGGGCCACAGAGTGAGACTCCGTCTCAAAAAAGAAAAAAAAAAAAAAAATCTAACCAGCAGCCCACCGAGCTGCTCTGCCTATGGAATAGCCATTCTTTTATTCCTTTACTTCCCTTATAAACTTGTTCTCACTCTATGAACTCACCTTGAATTCTTTCTTGCTGGATATTTAAGAACCCTCCATTGGGGTCTGGATCAGGACTCCTTTCCAGTAACAACAGGATGTCACTCTGTCACCAGGCTGGAGTTGAGTGTCATGATCACTGCTCACTGAGCCTCAACCTCTGGGGCTCAGGCAATCCTCCTACCTCAGCCTCCTGAGTAGCTGAGACTATAGGTATGCACCATTGTAGCTGGCTAATTTTTTTTTTTTTGGTTTTGCACTCTGTTGCCCAGGCTGGAGTGCAATGGCACGATCTCGGCTCCTGCAACCTCTGCCTCCCAGGTTCAAGCGATTCTCCTGTCTTAGCCTCCCGAGTAGCTGGGATTACAGGTGCACACCACTAGGCCCAGCTAATTTTTGTGTTTTTAGTAGAG